CGGCTGCCCCCGCCTGCCCGTCCCTGGAGCCCACTGCCCGCCTCAGGGCATCACGGGCTCATTCTTCAAAACTGACCTCTTTCTTGCACTCAGCGGACACTTCCCTTGAGGGCCCCGCAGCCCCGAGGAGCACCCCACCCGAGGAGATGGGCCCCGAGTGACCTGCCCGGCCGGGGGCTGACTGTGGCAGGACCAGACTCAGCCAGGGCGCCCCACCCTGGCCGGTGTTGCTCAGTGGATAGAGTGTCGGCCTGCAGACTGAAGGGTTCTAGGTTCGATTCCAGTCAGGGCACATGCCTGGGTTGTGGGCTTGATTCCCACTAGGGGGTGTGCAGGAGGCAGCCGATCCATGATTCCCTCTCATCATTGATGTTTCTCTCTCTCCCTCTCTTAACAAAAAATATATATTTTAGAAAAAGGAGGAAATACAGTTGCAATTACCCCCCAAAAGAAATACCCTTTTGCTGTTGTGACGCCCCTCCCCACCCCCTTCAAATAAAGTAGATGTTTCCTTGTCCCCTTTACTCAGGCAACAGGGAAATTGATCAAGTCCAGAGGGAGGGGGCCAGCGGCCTCCTGCCCGGCTGACCAGCAGCCCCAGAGTGACGGTGAATGACTCCTCTGACACGGCTGCTGTGAAAGAGAGGGCTAAGGGACAGCTTGGCTGAAGGAACCAGTCAGCCCCGTTCGCCTGCCTCCTCGGGCTTTTATTGCAGCAGCCGTTTGAGATACAGTTTACCTTTTAGAAACAGTCAGTAGGGCAATCTTGGGAGGGCACATGTGTCTGCAGTGTCCTCTAGGCAAGGACACCCGAAGATTAAGCATAAGGATTCCGGCAAACACCTGGGGGGCCGCACATGCACGGACTTGGTGGGAAAGGTCACGGAACAATTAGGGGCGGCCGCTTTGGCCAAACTCCAAGTCGGAATTCTGATAGACAGCGTGTCCGCCTTCAGCCCACGTCCCTTTTCGGAATTTCCTCCTTACAGACTTTCCAGCTGAGTCTCCCGTGCTTCCCTACAGACTGGGGGGCCCGGTGGTCACAGGAGCGGGCGGGGCTTGGGGAGGCCCAGCCTGGGCCTGGAAACGGGAATCAGAACCGAGGGAAGGCATTCGGAACTCGGCGGTGCATCTGGAATTCTGCAAACGGTTCCCATAGGTGGACGGAGGTATGCAGGCGAGTCTGCGAGCCTGGCTCCAGCCCCCACGGCGTCTGGTTCCGGGCCCCTGCAGGAGGGGAACAGGCGGACGCCGGCTGGTCGGGGCCCCTGGTTAGTCAGTCTTGAGCTTGGGGCTCTGGAAGGCGGACAGGGTGATGAAGAGCTGGGCGATGTAGTAGGTGGCCATGATCAGCAGGCGGCCGTGGGCCAGGGGCTGGACAAAGGTGTGCCAGGCCAGCAGGGAGTCGGAGGCGGCGAAGAGCAGGGCGCCCCAGCGGGCGCTCCCGCCCCTGGCCAGGCCCCGCCACAGCATGGTGGACAGGATCAGCGCGTAGGCCGACACGGGCAGCACCAGGTCTGGCGGGAGGTGCAGCAGGAGGAGGCCGGAGAACGGGAGGGAGGCCAGGAAGATGGACAGCAGGTGGAACGGGCACAGGCCGCGCCACAGCGTGGTGGACAGGGCCAGCACGTAGGCCGACAGGGGCAGGACCAGGCTCGAGGAGAAGTACAGCAGCAGGATCCCGGAGAACGGGAGGGAGGCCAGGATGATGGGCAGCAGGAGGTTGGGCCGCAGGGGTCTCATCCCAAAGGCCCAGATATAGAGCAGCTGGGCCATGGCGCAGGCGGCGCAGCCTGGAGGACAGGGGGTGGGGCACCCGTGAGACCCGCTTCCCTGCGTCACCCCTGCCAGCTCCCACGGTCCCCTGGTGGTCCCGCTTCTCGCTGCCCCTGCTGTCCAGGGTCTGTCCTTACTCTGCTCAGAATTCTAAAATCTCTCAACCCCCACGTCTCTGCTCCCCACTTGGCTTCAGCATGGAGTCTGTCTGGACACACAAGGCACACCCACCCCAGGGCCTTTGCACCTGCTGGTCCCTCTGCCTGGACCAGTGGTCGGCAAACTGCGTGTCTTCATATTAGTCAGGGTAATGCTAGCTGAGCCCAAAGGCCCAGGAGTAGAGCAGCTGGGCCACACCGAAGGAGAGGACGCCTGGAGGACGGGGTGGGGCACCCGTGAGACCCGCTTCCCTGCGAGTACAACAATTTAAATTTCTTTTGAGAGCCAAATTTTTTAAACTTAAACGATATCGGTAGATACATGGTTATTAACTTAATTAGGGTCCTCCTAAGGCTTAGGAAGAGCCACACTCAAGGGGCCCAAGAGCCACATGTGGCTCATGAGCCACAGTTTGCCGACCACTGGGCTAGACCATCCATCCTTCCCACACCCCCTTCTCTGTGAGGCTGTCCTACTCCAGAGTGTGACTCCGGGACTCCATCCTCCCTCAACGCCCGCCACGCCCACCTGCCCAGGTCAGGCTGAGCTCCCCGAGGCAGGGGTCTGGGTGTGTGCTGGTCACTGCTGGGCCCCAGGGCCTGGGAACGCCCTCTGGCTCCCGGCAGAGGCTATCAGGGAGTCGCCCCGCAACCAGGGCCCCTAGTGTGGGGGTCGGAAAGGGTCAGTGCGGCCCGCTCCCCGGCTCACCATACAGGAAGTTCTCGGGCCAGATGAGGAAGACATCCCGGAGGGCTGAGAAGAGCAGGGCCACCAGCAGGCTGGACCCAGAGCCGGAGCCGGGGTTCGCAGCCAGAGCCGGGGTTCGCCCGCAGGAGCCCCACCAGGCACAGCACCGGCAGGCACTTGACCAGAGCGCCCACCCTGGACGGCGGGTCCTCAGGGATCCAGAGGAAGAAGTAGGCGGCGCAGGTGAGCAAGAAGGGGCTCAGGCTGCCCAGGTGCGGCTGCTACCGGACAAGGCGCGGCTCAGCCCCCGGAGGAGGCTCCAGCCACCCCAGGTCTCGGGGCTCCCACCCCACACCACTCAGGGCCCCCAGGACAGGCCCCACCTGGCCAGGGCTCAGGTCTCAGGGCTCCCCCTCCCCTCCCCCACTCAGGGATCCCAGAACAGGTCCCACCTGGCCAGGACTCAGGTCTCGGGGTTCCCCCCTCCGC